GGGTAAGGGATAACAGAATAGTCACAATGGCAGCCATATTTCACCAGGAAATAGATAAGGAAACTACCCCCATCTGCCGTAGTTACATGGCTACATATTGCTTCCTCCTTTCCTCCCAAAACATCACTGTTACGAAAACACACGAATACATTTCGTGTTACCACGTCTACGAGCTCGACCTTTCCCTTTCTCACCAGTAGCTCAAAATCCGTAACATACTAGCCAGACACAATGCCATATAATATAACGCCCTGTACAGTTGTAAGCAATTTTTGTCTTCCGCTCTTGTTAGGCGGTTCGTTTGTTTTTTGGGCGTGTGTTGAGTGTATTTTGTTTTGTTATCATCCGCTTTCATGGGATTTTGTTGTCGTCAGCGTAGTTGTTGTTGTTGTTGTTGTTGTTGTTGTTATTGTTGATGTTGATGATGTTGTTGTTGTTGTTGATGATGATGATGATGAAGATGATGATGATGATGATGATGTTGTGGCTGTTGACATTTTTTGGGTTTCCTGTTGATACATTATGCTTCTTTACTGCTGTTTTTGTTGTTGTTGCTACTGCAGGTATTCTTTTTACGTTTTTTAAAATAGTTTTTGTTATTGCATCTGTGTTACTTTATTAGTTTGTATTCGGTGGTGGGGGTGGGGAGTATGCTTTAGTTTCGTTTTTGTAAGGTGTGGTTTCTGTTACTTTTGCTTGTTATGGGCTTTAGGTCTGCTTATCACACATCCCCCCCCCCCCCCTTTTTTTTTCAATCCGACCCCTATGGCACGACCAGCCTTCACATTATGGCTACGGCTTCAACACGAAATAAAACATTACCGTGAAAAATCAAATAAATCGACAGAGAAAGGAGACGAACCAAAACCAAGCTCAAAGCGCAGTGCTCTGTCTAGGCCTTCGGGCCTTGTTTAACGAGCACAGACTGAGTAACATACTACAGGCCTTGCTTTGTGAAAGCGGTGGCTTTGAGTAAAAGGAAGTACAACGACACAAGAACTGCCTTATAAGTCCATGGAAAAAGAAAGACAGCTTACAAACAGACAGACCGAAACACCTGCCGAAAAGAACAGAAGTAGACCTACCGGTGGAGCATAGAGGGGGAATCTAGAAACCCTTTTGTAAATCTAAAGCGAAGAGGAAGGGTAGTGGTTAGACATCAAGTTTGGGTTGGTGGGAGGGTCAAAACAAGGTAGATGAAAAGACGAGCTCGTAAAAAAAAGGGGGTAAGCAATTTGTCTTTTGGAAGTTCACAGCACAGTATTCTCTATGTAGGCCAAGGAATTATCTCCACATAAAGGAAACCCAAGTAGCTGTCTGGCTCACTGCTGTTGGCCTAGCCTAACGTCTACAGGGATAGGGATGGCGCATCCAAACAGATGTGGTCACATGATGCGGGGGAGAGCAGCCATGCGACAGTCAGAAACAAGTGGAGCCAGGACAAGACATTCCGTATAAACCACAGACATGTACTCAAAATAGAGGTCGCCCACAGCCTACAGGCAAGGGACTGTCAGTCCGTTTCTTCAACCATATATTTTTCTTGACTGAAGAGGAGTGGTGTATGCTCTAGGGTAGGGCACTTTGATGACAACTGAAACTTAGGGTACCACGTACAGCTAAATCCGTTGCTGAAATAACGTTCAAAGCTAAGGCTAACCTCACTCCTTAAGTCTTAAGTCCTGCTTTTCCCAAATCAAAATTTGATTGATGTGTAACCCTGACTCATGTCATTATAAGGTGGGTGGAAGCGAATCATGGGGAAACTCGGCAGACCTTATGACAGGTGTTTTGGAATTCACAGGGGAAATAAAAAGGAAAACAATGCGGGTTACACCAAGACAAGTTTGTAAAATTGGAAAATATGAACAGTTAGGGGACAGGGAAACACCAGGATCACCTTTAATTTTAGCTTTTATGAGAGCATCCGAAAGGAGAAAAAAAGGGGAAACCATGTGTATCATCATATCGAAGGGACAGGGATAGGTCCTAGAGGGAGACCTTGGTTAGGTTAATTTTAGACAACACGTCGAATTATCACGACAGTCACTACAAACGGCCACAATGTTTACACACTTAAGTACAGGGCTCCGGTCAACCCGAGAAGATAACGAGAGCAGGTATGGGCACACTCCAAGACTAACATGACAAAGCCCATCTTTAAAACGAATATATACACAAGGGGAAACGAAAACAGCCTGAGTACAGAATTAAAATTACAATTATTATTGAAAGACAGAGAGGGTGGAGGTTGGAAAAGGGGTGGAGGTTGGAAAAGGGGTGGAGGTTGGGGGGTGGGGGTGGAGAGGGGATTTTAAAGGTCTCAGATCTGCTTAATATACCCCCTCCCCATTTCTCACCCCACTCTCTTCCAACAGGCCTAGGTAGGTATGGGGGTGGGAGCACTAGTACAATCACACCCTGCAATGATCTAAACAAACATTCCAATAACAGATTGGTTGCTCAAGAAGGAAGTGAAGAGACCAGCGGTTTACCTGACCTCTGGAATACAGCCTGTTACTGGTGGAATTATGGTCACGAGCGCTCCTGTCCTCGCCTACGACATGACGAATTTATGGCTTTGGTGGGTCCTCAACGTACTGAACCTTCAGTTCAGCACATACACACATAACACAC